TGGTGAATATAACGGTTTTTTATAGTCCTGTTTCAATGGAGTTATTGCACATCAAAGTTAAACGTCTCAGTGCAACGTGCTATACTGCCACGACTTTGCATGCTCCGAATCTTTGCCGATCGCTTCCAATATAAGCGTAATTTATGTTTCGTTCGATCCAAGGAAGTACCAAAGCAAGTCAGAAAAAAACTTCAATTTCAAATCCAGAATTCAGGAAAGGGGTTGGATCCGGTCCCCTTTTTGGTAAAACTTGTATGGCTACTTTTTTGCTGACCTGCACACAAGAAACAGCTGTAGACGTACAAGGATTATATGCTTTATTCTACAGGACTATTTCCAGATACCCTTCAAGTAAAACAATTACTAAAAAAATATGCAAGTGTCACGATTACTGTAGGTGTTACAATCCCAACTTAATTAAAGCAATAACGCCAGCGTCTTTTTTGGTTGTCGTAATAAATTCGGAACTTGCGCACTGTGCTGCGTCTCCACCTGGAGCTGTATTGTCCCACATGGCAAAAAAGTGTGTCACCTTGTCGAGCCGAAATGTCGGCAATGCGTTAACCGCAATAAATGTGAAGCGCTGCCCAACACTGAACTGTACCAGTCCTAGCAACCCCTTGAGGGTTAACGAGAAAATGATTATACGAAAAAACAAACAAAGGAGAGTATCAAAAACTTGAACGATAGCATCTATCTAACTTATTTTATAGAAACCATTCACACAACTCACATTACGCGCGACCTTTCATTTGAAGTTTGCCATCGCCATCAAAAACACCTCATATTTCTCAACTGAATCTCGAAAAAGCTGGAGGAAACACAAGTCGCTTTTTAGCTTTGTTCACAGTTTTCGAATCATCCGAAAATTCGAATTGCGAAAAGAATTGATACGTATCGACCAGGAGAATCGCGCACGCGCGAACGCGGATGCGAAAAGGTTTAGATGCGTATCGACGTAGTAAACCACGCCCTATTAGCGTTGCTGGAGGATTTTCGCACCGCCGTTTCGATGCTGTCGATCTCCGATTGACTGATCGATAGACACCATTTCTTTTAAAGAGGATTCGCAGATTCGAATGCGCGATTCGACGCTCCTCCCATTTGTGATCGATACGCATTTGAATCTTTTCGCAGATCCGCAGATTCGGTCGTTTCGAGCGTGGCGCAATGTGTGAACAGTGCCTTACTGAGGATATGTTGGTTGATATATTTACTAAAGATATGCTTTTTACTGACTCCAATACAACCTAGCGGTTCTTGGCTACAGCGACCTCACAAACTCCAACCTTTGCCACGCGATAACGAGTCACGGACTACTGCTTCATCAGAGTTGCCTACATTCGCTTGTCTCACGGATTTCCGTAAGGCAACGTTAGTAGCTGAGATAGTCGCCATCCCCTAACCGCCTGAGGACTACGCCTCCGTGAAAGAAAACACAGAAAGTTCAAAAGATCACACAACCCAGACCCATCCACTTCTAAATTGCCATCCATCATGAACATATAAGGACTAGGCTCCTTGCATTTCTTGGCTTTACGAAACCCCGTTGTCCAAACCAACTATTCCACCGAAATGCTTTATTAAGCAGAAAGCGTCAAATATGTAAAAAAAAAGTTTTGGGAAGTTGAACTCAAAAATCCAACCCAGAAGTGTTATCACCTCTTCCCGTTATTCCCGTCACTCGGCATTTCCTACACACTGGGAGCTTGCATCGAACTATTTCCCTTCATTAGAAAGATAATTTAAGCCAAGAGACCCGTTGAAGAGGTAGGGAAATCCGACTCTACCTTGGTATTGTTTGTTGACGATTTCAAAGCGTGCAAGGGAAACAAACCGACCTTGCCTCTTGTTTATAAGACCAGGGATAATACTAGAGCAAAAATCGCGTACAATCAGGAGCACATCCACTTACTGCATCTGGAGAGGCGAAAGTTAGCCGAAGTTCTTCCGTATTCTTCTGCTGAGCCGCTGCCGCAGCCAACCCACGTCGTGAGGACGCATTCGCCGATAAGGACCTGGCCAACATCCTTTAAAGAAGCCCTAAAAATCGGAATTGAGATTCAAAAAGGAATAGTGATTTATAAGCAAACTTAGCCAAATTTTAAAATGTTGAATCAACACATAAAGGAAGGCAAACAAATTCAGTACCACACCAAATGAAAACAACTAGATATTTCTTCGAGAATTGGATCTCACTAGAGCGATTTCCCGCACAGAACCTTGAATCAGCAAGTTCCAAAAAAAAGGAACTGAAGGACCCACCCCCTCAAAATACTAAACAAAACTCAGAAGGAACCAAGAAGCTTTCAGAAAAAACCACGCAAATTTAATACCGTACTCGATGCCTGCACATCAAAGTGCTTGACAGTAAACTTGTTTCGATTGGGGCGCGCGAAAACGGTTTTGTGACTATAGTGTTGCTGCGTGGCGGGTTAAACCTAACTCTGATCTATCCTAGGAGGGAGGGGGCGTCATGGTGGAGTGCATGCGCCACCAGCATTTGACACATGGTATCGGTAAAAGGCCGTTTGTAGGACGGTTTCTAGGACTGAGCTTACGGTGAGGATGGAGCGAACGAAAACTGCCCACACACACCCCGAAGTCCATTTTCACTTAGTCCTAAAACTGAGCTTTTCCGTAACCTCAACGCTATGTTAAGGGCTCCCTTGAGAGAAATTTTCTTAGGAAAAGCTTCGGGTGGATGTGAAAGCAAAAGCGAAGTTGTTCGCGCACCCCAGACCAAGGTCAACCGTTAATTGTGCAAGTTCAGCAACGGGATCGAATTAAACTAAATTAAACTAAAGGGGGAAGGGGGCGTAAGTGCAGACTCGCAACAAAATTTGAAAGCCGCAAAGCATAGCAGTGGATGGCAGACTTTTGAATATCACGGCGACTACTAACCACATGTGTGTACATGGCGCATCCCAGAGTAGGTGTTCGCACTAAAATAGTTCGCATTTCAGTGAGAACGAGCAGGCAGAATTTTTCACAGAATTCCGATGCCTTTACCACTATGGCGAAGTGGAAGAAAAAGCGACGATTTTGGCAGGTTGACTTCCTCAGGCTTATTAAAGATTCTGGCAGAAGAAAGTTCATGTCAAGGATTTTCAAAAGATATAAGTTCGCTTTATAAGGCACTGATCATACGGTTTTAAATGTTTTCAACCTTCTCACAAAATCAATTCTGAAGACTTATTCGCGCAAAAAAAAACAAAAAGGCTATTTTTGTACGAGCTACCTTTCGGAAAAATTTTAGAACCTCACGGAAGCTCTAATATGGTAGTATCCTTTTAGCCTTCGAGATTTGAAAAAAAATTATAGTTAGATAGAGATTTATTGATATATTAGGTGAAAATGTAGTTCGGGGGAGCCACTCATAATATCTAATCGAACTGACAATATCTAATCGAAGTGGAGCTGCGGAAGGGCGGTCATATCTAATCACCATCCAGAGCACAGTCTCTGAGTGTATGATTAGATAGGGATACCCCGAGATTCCATACAAAATCGGATACCTGAAAGGCCCTTTCTCAAGGGCTTGCATGACAGTTGCAAGAAGGTTTGATGAAAGTGAAGCCAGCAAGGTAGCAGCCATTTCAGCCATAGAATACTATGACAAAGGTGACAAATACGGCGAACTAGTCGTATGCCACAGTCTCATTGAAAGATATATAGATATGAGTGCCTTCCCCGCATTCTACCTTGATTAGATGTGAGTGTCTTTCCGCAACTCACTTCGATTAGATAGGGTGGCCGCCATCATATACAGGGGGGGCCAAAAAAAAGAGTCACTTTGCCTATGGCGCATATCATCAAACTTTTCGTCGCAAAGGATGCCGCTGTTATTGGGAGTTATACGGCGAATTATTCCTTAGATGTCCCCCCATAAGCAGAATCAGGCCCACCTTCGCTGCGTTCACCGTCTCCAGAATATGACGTCATCTGTCATCACCGTCGAGCTCAAGGAGGCCTACCATAATCGCTCCATTCTGAAGCTGCTACATAATTTCTTCAATCGGATAACTGGTGAATGGCTTCTTAGGACACTAGCTCTGACTATGCAAATGGCTTTTGACCAGCGTTTCAGAGACGTCGTATCGTCTAT